GGTTGGCCGCCGGGGATTATCGAAGCTCTACAAAAAAAAATTGGAAAACGCGTCTTGTACAACTTCTGCTCTTATTCATTATGTAAAGGGCAGCAAAAACACTTGAGAAGGGAGACGGTGTGAAATCCAGAACTCCGCAGCTTCGAAAACATGAAGCTTCCCTTCTAAGCTGCAGTCCACTATGCGGCTCATTCACCAGTCTGCTAGATAACGCACGGGAACTAATAACGCAAAGCTTATTTGAAACGAAGCGCCGGTAACAAGGGTAGGAACGGTTGAGGTAAACAAGAGTAGCAGTGATAACACTAGTAACACTTTAACACTTGTAACACTAGTAATACTGGTAATGAATGATTAAGCCTAACAAGGAACAGGGCTCGCCACAGGTGGCTTGAAAGCAAGCTGGATGTTTTTTGGGACAAAAAGCTAAGGAGATATCGTTTTTGTAGTTGAGAATATACAACTTAGGTGATGTTCTTGTTCGACGTTTCCTTTTTTTTGGAGATTTTTTACATTCAGGGTTTAGGGTCAAGGGGGACTTCGTAAAATTTTGCGAAAGTAATTGAGGCTTTGCTTTTTTGCATTTTCGGAAAGTCACTTCGTGCCGAGCAGAAAGGAAAGGATACTCGGTGAACATGGTCATTCAAAATGGTTTGCTCATCAAAAACTGCGCCTTCTAATGCTGGTTCAAAACTGTTTTTTATATCTGCGAAACGATAGAATGGATGGAATTATGATTATTTTTTTAAGAACAAGTTCTCAAAATGATCGATAAAAACTTTTTTCCTTCTCAAATACCAGATATGATTTAGGTAGTCATAAATACAAACGTACTGCTAAGATTTTCTAAGAATTTTCAGAGAAAACCTGTTTATTCATAGCATTAAACAAAGGACAAACATAGAACAAGAACAAACATATCGGTGACTTTAACTATCCAAAAGTGTTCTAAGAAAAAATTCACAACTACATTCAGAAGATCGTTTCGCAGATTTCGAGCTCAGAATTATCATTAGTTTTTCGAAATGCACCTTGGAGCATGAATGACATTTCAAATAACCACGGTCACACAAGCATCCGTTCCTCACAAGAAAGTTCAATCTATGTTAAGAGATTTGCCAACTCGCATCTTAGCAATCCTTGACATTTTGCAAATAATTTTTGTTGCATTTTTATATGAATTTACCTGCAGCCACCATAGTCTCCAGAGTGGGGAATCGTCTTCGAACTCCAAGGTGAATATCACGAAAAACAAGACATTGTGATGCGACGCAATACCTAACAATATTTCGGCGCAGGTTCTTTCCCCGATCGTCGTTTCCCTTGATCAGTTGCGATGTAAACAGTGCGATACTGTAAATGTAATGAAACACTTTATAAACTCAAAGGTTTGATAAATATTGATATTCTTACTTGTCGATCATGCCAAGGTTCGCAAATTGCGTCGTCCACCGATTGATAACAACTGTGACAAAGAAACTAAGCATGAAACTCATTGGTATATAAGCAAGGCGCTTGTCGCAAAATGCGGCAAATTTTTCAAATGTTCTGAAAAGAAACATTCATGGTCTTCATAGCCCTTGAGGATGGGTACGCGTTTGCCTCTCCACTCATAGATCATCATAAAGTAAACAAACTGCTTAGAAATAAAGTTCTCAACGTGAAAAAGTGACAATGTAAGATTGCACTTTATAGTGAGAACCGATTTTATGGTATAATACACGATACAAGGAGCACAGTATCATTTCTAGAATTACAGCAACTCACCCTTGCTGCTCCTTAGACATAGCAAGGCGATAAATGCAAGATAGGATTGCGTAGGCGGTTAACCATATCAAATACTCGACATAAACGGCTCTCCAAACTGATCCTCTCCATCGAAACAACAATTTGAATATCACTTTCGCTTTACTTGTGGCAATATCATAGTGGTAATTATAGCCCATCTATGCCACCCTGAAATGGCATTATGAAAATTAGGTGTTTTATCCAGCTCAAGGGTGAGAAAATAATGAAAACTGAGGGATTTTAATGAAACTGAGGCATGCAAAAATCTGAGCCTGTAGTCAAAAATAAATTGGCAAGCTTTGAGCTCTTATCATACTATCGGCCTGTGCTATTCTAGGCTATCTTGAACCACTTACGCTAGCAAATGACCAAATTTACGAGTTGCGGGCGTTTTTCAACCATGATCAAGCGAAACTTATATACACCAAATTTTTCGGTGTGCTATTCCACAGCGTTTCTGTCAACTGTTTGTCATAATCTTTGGTACGCTTATTTCAGAGTTCTCCAATTTCATGATAACAATAGCTTTTCGTCTTGCAACATTCTCAACAGTGCAGTTGAACTGACTC